GGCACAGCCCCCACTCCCAGCGCTGCCACCCTTGCATGCTGCGCCAGCTGGCAAGCAGCAACAGAGCAGAGCCCCCACTCCCAGTGCTGATGTGAGAGTGGCAGGGCTGGGAGCAGGGGCTATGCCCTGCTGCCACTTGCCCCCTTCCACCTGCAGCAAGCCACATCTACTACCCCCTCCCCCAGCACTGGCTGGGGAAGCAGCAGCAGGGCACACCCCTGCTCCCAGCGCTGCCAGCAGGGACTCTGCACTGCCATCACTTGCCAGCTGGTGACCAGGGGGGAACATGCGGGATGCAACATGAGTCTCTGACTAGGGAAAGTGAAGTAATGCCACACAGGGGCAGCTTATACCAAGTTATTTTCCTTGGCAGAGGCTCCTACTGAAAAAGCTGTTATTGCCATATTCCCCACCCCCCCATTTCCAGCAGCTGACTTTTTTCCTGGAAGGAACATAGCGTATGAGAGAGAATTTAGTAATTTCAACCTTATATTCTTAACTGTTACATATTACATTAGCAAATAGTGAATGATATTTCTAACCAATTTCATTATTTTAAATCATGCTTTTAGATGGAAACTGGAATCAATTAAAATGTAGAAAATAGTTTTCACCTCATAAAAAGACGTTTTTATAGTTATGTTACATGTGTTGGATGCACAAGAAAAAATGCATTTGTATCTTAAACAAATGAAACATATTGTTTCTTGAAACTCCATCCAGCAAGATTTTAAAGCTAGCAGATCTCGCAACACTAGGTTATATTCAAAGATTGGAAGAAGCAAACAAATTTTTTCTTTAAACTGAATATGAGTTTAATGCTTAAGGCAAGCTGGCTATCAAACTGAAACCAATTTTTTTTTTCCATTTTAATTTGTCTTCAGTGTCATGACCCGAAGGCATGATTTTGTGTGTGCTTCGGCACCAGAATTATCCCTGCCAAGTTGCAGCTTCATTGCACGGGAGAGTTTCCTGTTGCAGAGGAAAGCCCCGGTGCAGGGACGAGTTTCCCGCCTTTCTGCAGCTTCTTTTGCAGAGTGCATTGCTCATGTTGCAAGAGAAATGCACGGTGCAAAAGAGTTCCCGCCACCGGTATGCAAATTCGTTCCCCACTATTGGCTAGTTTTAAATTATTCCCACGTGGCAGCTAACGATTGGCCTGTTAGCCGTATAAGAGGCTTGAGCAGTTTCCGCCCAAGCCGAAGAGGACTCCACATCCATCTTGTGGGGACTCTGGGTACACGGCAGGGTAATAGAGACCCTGTGTGAGATTCAGAGGAGCTTGGCGACCTGATCCATCGCCCACCTCTTCCCGTCTTCGAGTGCAAATTTTATAAGACGTATCTCCGATTTCGATTTTGGTGGCGTGTTCACCCAGAGCATCCGGAGCTCTGTTCTGTGGAGCCTAGCAACCTCCACGTGACCGTTCGTGTTGTCTGTGTCTGTAACCACAACTCAAGCAAGTTTTCCAGTCTATACCACTGCCATCTCAGTGTAAGTAAACAATCTTTAAAACTACCGCTAAGCGTTTGTGCCTAATTCCAGCTCATCGCCCTCCCTCTCCGATCCACCGTGCCCGGGCTGCTGGCCACAGCCCGCGTGCAGCACGGAAAAGGGCTCGGGTCGCTCCCGGCCCGCACATTCAGAAGAGAACAACCATCTGAAGCTTATTTATCACTTCAACAAACTCTGGTTCCTGATTAACTTCTGCCAGTTCAGTGGTTTGACACTCAAGACTCTGGCAGCAAATATGTATTACCTGAGCTCAATTGTTATTTTAGTAGATTATAGCAAGGTCATAGGAATTATTTGTAAATAGATTTATTTTATGGGAAATTACTTAATAGCAAGTAATTAAAAACATCTTTTTAAAAATTGCTCCTTTTTATTTTCTCTGCTGTATAATTTCTGCTCCAAATGTTCAGTGTCAGATGAGAATGTTCATGCTGTCCTGATGGGCACTGCTTTTTTCAGAGCACTTCTGACATTCAATACCACAAAGGGTCACATCTTAGGAGAAACATGCAGAAGCCACCCCTGGGAACACTACCTCATTTCTAAACATTTAATCATTCCTATTTTATATAATGCTGTAATGAAATTATTATTAGAGAGTCAGGCAGAAAACATCCATGGCCTTCTAGAATATGCACACCCCCTCTCACGGGAGGTCAGGAATACTGGCTCAGAGAATGGCAAACTATTCTAATGAAAAGGTCACCCTGACACGAGAAGAGCAGAATTCTCCTAAACGCTCTACTCAAAAAGGTTGAAACAATAAGTAGACATGCTTCTTTGGGTAAATCTGATATCTTTTATTAGACCAATTCAAACAGTTGGAAAAATTCTTCTTTGCAAACTTTCGGGTATAAATACCCTCTTTGTCAGGCTGAGGAAGCATCCTGCAGTTATTAGATTTACCCAAAGAACCTTGTCTGCCTATGTCCTTAGACCAACACAGCTACAACCTATACCCCTGAACCAGTAAGTAAAGTTTCCTTGCAGTTACGTAACATGTTAGGCATATCATGTTCTTTCCCCTGTTTCTGGTCTCCACCTCCTACAGAGTTGACTACTATCTACTTCCTCACTCAGAAAATCAGTGTACTGGGTAGTAAGCAACCTATAATCAATCATAAATGTAATCAGTACATATAAAACAAAGCATGACAGAAAACAAAAGGAAGCATTATGGATGCTGAGGAGTATAAATAGAGATGCTCTCTCATACATTCATGCATGTTCTCTCTCATTAGACGTAGCATACAGGGTGAGCAAGTGGGGAAAGGCAGAAGGGAAGTTTGGGGGGGAGGGGGCAAAGAGAGACCAGGAAATAGTCTCAGATAGCCAGTATGGAGCTGCTGATTGGGGGGAGAGTATGGAAATTATTTCAGTGACTTTACAAGCAGTAAGGGAGTCAGAAAGCAATTATGAAGTTACAGGCAGAAGGAATAGCAGTAGCTGAGATGGATCTGAAGGTTGCATAAGCAGACAGCTGAATGTTCAGGATAGTCCTATTATTTCTTACAGAGCTGGCAAATAAGAAAACATCTCCGGCCTGTCACTTT